TCGCCCACCGGGATGGCGATCTCGCCGTCTGCCGCGGCCGCTTCCTCGGGCGCCTTGGCCCGGCGCACGCTGGCCGCCAGCACCTTGGCCGCCACGCCGGGCCCCGACAGCTCCGGATGCAGCCGCAGGTGGCGCGCCAGGCTCTTGGGCTGGCTGAAGCCACGGCCGCAGCGCGGGCACACGAAAGGCTTGAGGCCGCTGTGTGAGCGCCGGTGCTTGGCCAGGCTCTTGCTCTGCGTGAAGCTGCGACCGCAGTCGGGGCAGGCATAGGGCTTCTCGCCCGTGTGGATGCGCTGGTGCTGCATGAGGTTGGAGCTCCAGCTGAAGCGCTTGCCGCACTCGGAGCACGCGTAGGGCTTCTCGCCCGTGTGGATGCGCCGGTGCTGCACCAGGTGCGAGCTCTGCGAGAAGGTCTTGCCGCAGTCGGCGCAGGCGTTGGGCCGCTCGCCCGTGTGCGTGCGCTGGTGCCGCGTCAGCTTGGACCAATGGCTGAAGCTCTTGCCGCACTCGTTGCAGATGTAGGGGGCGGGAGGCCGTGGCCGGGGCGGGGGACCGGCCGGAGGAGCCGACTGGGGAGGGGACAGCTTGGTCGGGGGCCAGCTGGGGACGTCGTCATCATCCATGATGAGGATGTCCACTAGAAGGCAAGAGGACGGGAGGAGAGAGGAGTCAGAGAGGCCACGGCTCCATACAGTGCCCGTACATGTGCGAGGGTGGCCTCGGGTAACCCACTCACCTGTGTGCCTCGCAGGCTCACCTGACACAGCACGGCGATGCGCCGGGTGAGTGTGCATCTCTGCACAGACCTGGCCCTTGGAGGTGTCCCATCGGTCTCCACCCCTTACCCTCCCTATATTCCTCAGCGCACCCATCAGTCCCTAGCATTTTAAGGAAACATTCATCTGTTCATTATGCAGCCCTTAGGAGTTCTTCACGGCAGTTTCCCCCACGTTTAGGACAATGCCTGGGACATAGTAGGGACACCAGGCTGCGGACAGGGGGCTTCCGGGGAAAGCTCACTAGGAGGAGAGGGTGGCAGAGCCAGCCCTAAAGGCTGCGCGGGGCCTTTGGACCTTGGGCCAGGGGCAGTGGGTGGCAGCACCCTGAATGTGTGCAAGCCGGGGAGAGTGGTGTCACATTTGGCCTCTAGGATACTATCCTGGCTGCAGGGTGGAGCAGAAAGGAGAGGAAGGGGAAAATGGTTAATG